TCGGGTTTACGTACCGGTAGGTTTACGTTCTTGACTAATTTCAGCTTAAGAAAAATGTTAAGCCATTTATGCAGCGATAGTGCTACGATGTTTTGTCCATTCCTAGTGGCGCAAGTTTAAAATTATTTTGATGACACTCAAAACTGATTAACCAGGTAAATTCGCATTTATCATAAAAAAACTTACTAGCGTATATTTGCAATGTCGAAGAACGCGCGAAAACTCGAGTGGTGTTCTCCAAAATTAACAGCTAAACGGAAGTGCTTAGATAAAAAGCGAATAAATGCTGTGCTCCAAACGGAAAATTTATTCTGGCCTGAAGATGACGAAGATAGTTTTTTCACAGCTTCTAAAGTGAACTATGTAATAAATAATAAAATTAATACTCATAGCCTTGAGAAAAATGATACCAACTTACTTTGCTCTCAAGTGACTATGGGTGCCCATCAGGAAATAACCCTCTTTGGAACACAGCAAAATAGCTTAAAATTAAGCAACTTTAAGGAAGATACTTTTTTTTCTAAATCTGTATTGGATACTGTGATGACTGAATATGAGGAAATTGTTGAAACCAAGAATGATAGTTGTTTACCAGATAATTGCCACGACGATAAGAGCGTCCTAACTGTATCTGCAGTGGAAAAGTTAATAAGCTACAGTCCACTAGAGCTTTTTACCAGCATAAATCAAAACAGCATGACAGATAAAACACCCTTGGAAGACACAGCATTATTAAATATGGAAAGCAGTAATAACTTTCATCAAGGTAGAGCTGATGAGAGCATATTTAATACCATTAATTTACACAGTGAGCAAAAGACTGGAAGCCAAAAGCAACTTAAGTTCGATGACACCATATTTGCGAATATTAATATAGAAGATCTGACGAAAGACGAGGATAAAGAACTTTTTGTAGAAAATATCCAAGATGATGCGGGAGTTCAAAACTCTCAAAGATTCCTAGATGACGTTGCAATATTTAAAGTGCCTCATGCTCCTGCACCAATTAGCTGTAAGGCAGGACAGAAAATCAAAGTTCCCCAGCGCGACAATTTTGTTAGTGGATCGCAGTACACAGTGCACAGTCATTTATCAAATATTACATCTATTGCTAATCTATCTCGACTGGACTGGGACTCTCAGGCATTTTCAGATAAGATAGAAAACGATTTTCCAAGCAAAGGTGCATTCTTTGGACTACCGGACAAAGTTAAACGTATGATTTTCGAATATAAAGGCATACAAAGTTTATACGGTAAGGATTAAATATCGTCCGAATTATGCCAGAAAAGAAATGTTGGGAAATCAATTTTTTTTAATGAGACCACTACATTCATTTAATTAAATTCATTAATTAACATTTCACAATATTGTGGTATCCGTGTACGCATGGTATTCTCAGTTTCAGTATAACATAGAACATCGAATAGTTAATCAAATCAACGCAATAACTCAAATTTGGTAAATTTGTACATTCGTGTTTCTGGCATATGGGTGACGATACTTTATGCAAGTATTTCAGTTAAAATAGTTTTATTCATAAAACCTTATATTCCTCAGAGTGGCAGGAGGAATGCTTGAATCTGCCAGCTATTCATGAGCGCAGGAACTTAATCTATGCCCTCCCAACAAGCGGCGGAAAGACACTTGTTGCCGAAATATTAATGTTGCGCGAGGTGTTGTGCCGTGAAAAGGATGTACTTTTCATACTGCCTTATGTCTCAATAGTACAAGAAAAGGTATATGAGTATTCAAAAATTATTTTTCTTAACCAACGAAATTCAAGGTATACCTACATATCTAAAATTAATATAGGTCAGCGCTATGTCTCCATTTGCAATCGCAATGAATTTTATTGTGGACGAATATACCGCCGGGAAGGGAAAATGTCCACCAATGAAACGGAGAAAACGAAAAAGTATATTTATAGCTTCGATTGAGAAAGGTGCTGTTTTAATAGACAGCTTAATTGAGGCGCAACGTGCGGACGAAATAGGTCTGATTGTGGTCGACGAATTGCATCTGATAGGCGAAAAGGGACGAGGGGCTACATTGGAAGCTTTGCTTACAAAAATTATGTTCATAGATGGTAACTGCTTCGTCCATAGTGATCACTTTTTTATTGCACTAATTTGTTGTTTTTATAGATAAATACATTTTTGAATATAATTTTTAGTAAATATTCAAATCGTCGGCATGAGTGCCACTATCGGAAACCTGGAAGAAGTTTCTAGCTTTTTAAAAGCAGATGTATATACACGCAGCTTTCGACCTGTTGAGTTGAGGGAGTTTCTAAAATGTGGCAACGATATTTTGGAGATTAATACAGCAGGCAAAACACTGGATGAAGTGTTTGTTTACAGTCGTAATGTAAATTTCAATGTAAGTTAATAAATTAGTTAAATATTTTATATCTCTTCAACGTACATTTTTGTTTTAATTTCTCTTCAAACTCAGTACAGCGAATCTTTATCACGTTCCGACCCGGATCATCTAGCTGGATTGGTAGCAGAATGTGCTCCTGAGCATTGTGTGCTGGTGTTTTGTCCATCGCGGAAAAATTGTGAGAATGTTGCTTTGCTTTTGAGTCGCATTTTACCGAAGTACATTTATGTCAAGCTTATATAAAGCCCTCAAATTTATAACTTATTATATTCCGTATAGAAAATTTGTGCAACATCGAAAACGTGAAAAAGAAGATTTAATGGATGCTTTGGATAAGGTATGTGGTGTGCTTGGGGACGTCTTGGCTAAAACTATTCCATATGGCATAGCCTATCATCACTCGGGCCTTACCATTGATGAACGGAAGTTTATTGAGACTGCATATCGTTTTGGTGTATTAAGTGTAATTTGTTGCACATCGACTTTGGCGGCGGGTGTTAATCTTCCCGCAAAGCGTGTTATCATACGTGCACCCTATGTGGGTTCGGAATTTATGACTCTTTGTAGATATAAACAAATGGTAGGGCGTGCTGGACGTGCAGGCATGGGTGAGGCCGGTGAAAGTTTTCTAATTACAACAAGTCGAGACAATATTCGTGTTGGCGATATGCTTTTTTCGCCTATGGATAAAGCAATAACTTCTTTAGATTACGAAGATTGCATAGGTTTACAGGTATGTAACTAAAGGATTTTGCCGAATGTTTATTACGATTAAGACTAGCTAACTTATTTCACGTTAAAAACACCAAATTATCTTTTAATTTTATTTGCAGAGTCTGGTTATAAGTGCAATCGGTTTAGAAATTGCTAACTGCCGCACAGACTTATATCGTCTTGTAGGTTGCACTTTGCTTTCTGTACAAGCCAATCAACTAGGACTTTCGACAGAACAAATGGTTCTTAAACTTATTCGTGAAATGTTTAAACACAAAGTATTGGAATTGTGCGCATCGGTGGCATCCAAAAAGGACATCCCAGACATACTTACCACACAAGACGTTCAAAATGTAAGCAGTCGAACATCTCATGAGCATCGCCGGCTTTTCATAAGCAAATCGACACGCTTTCAGCTTACAAATATTGGTCGTGCCGCTTTTAAGGCAGGTATTGATTATAAACACGCCTTTGCAATACACGCGGAGCTGAAACTCGCGCAAAAACAACTAATATTAACGAACTATGCACATCTACTGTATCTAGTAGTGAGTTTCAATTCGAAAGCAAAAGGTGATGAGTTATTTCCAGCGGAAGCTGGTATACTTTATCGGGTATATATGTCATTAGATGATACTACGCAAGCCCTCTTCAAACTTCTCGGCTTCACCGAAGCGGTTGCAGTGAAAATGGCAAAGACGATGTCCGTTCAAGGACCACTGGAACTAAAATTGAATCGTCTCTACAAAGTGTTGGTTTTGATCGATATTTTAAATGTACTACCTTTGCATGTAGTAGCGTCAAGATATAAAGTAGAACGAGGAATGTTACAGACGCTCATAAATCAATCAACTGCAGCGGCCAGTGCAATAGTGCGGCTCTGTGAGCAATTGGATGCCTTTTGGTGTTTTAAATCACTGTTTGAGCGGATAAGTGCGAAATTGGATCGGTGTGGTACAATGGAGTTAGAACCATTACTTGATTTGCCGGCCGTAAAAATAGTATATTCAATGATGATATAATAAACAAATTGGTATCAGAAAAAATGACTGTATTTCTTTCAGAATCGTGCTAAACAGCTTTATAGTGCGGGCTTCAAGACAATTGAAGACATAGCTAAATGTAAACCAATTGATTTAGTGCGTTTGGTGGAACATATGCCAATGAAAATTTCGAAGGAAATTATCTCGGCTGCAAAGGTAAGTTTCTGATAAAGTAGTAAAACGTGTACATATCTTTATATAGTGTACGTATGTATTAGGAATGTATTAGGGATCCCGGCCTTTTTTAGGTCACGAAAATTTCGGGATTTGTAATTTGCACTGATGGGAATAATAGAAACTCCTTTTCTGGACCAGTATTGGTTATATCTCTTTATATAGTGTACGTATGTATTAGGGATCCCGGCCTTTTTTAGGTCACGAAAATTTCGGGATTTGTAATTTGCACTGATGGGAATAATAGAAACTCCTTTTCTGGACCAGTATTGGTTATATCTCTTTTTTTTTAAATTAATATTTAATAATTAGAATTTTTTTTTTATAAATGTTTAGCTCATTTTACATATAACACCTGCGATAGTAAATTTTACACACAAAAACCAAATATATTCGCGAAACCATGGGCTAAATATAGTAAAATTGCGTTTTTAGTTGTATCACTCTCACGACAGAAATTCAAAAATGATTTAAAAAATTCAGTGAAATGTGCTTAGAGAAAAAGTATGGGTATCAAATTAAAAAGGAAACTCTGTAGAATTTAATCAGATTCAATATTTTGGTGCATAAGGACTGGTAAGTATTGAAAATGGCCTTTTAAAATTTTATCCTTTGAATTTGCAATATTTGTTTTTGAAAAAAATTATATGTTAAGGCCTTATGTAAACTCGATAACATCCTCGAATTTCGTGCTTCTAACTTATCAGTTTAAAAAATTACCTATTCGTCCTTGTGAATCAAAAAATAATAATTTTTGTAAGTTCTAAAGAAATTTTCTCTTTCATTTGGTACCCTTATTTTTAGCCTAAATTGCATTGAATTTTTTAAATAATTTTTGGAATTAATCCATTTTAAGTAAAAAAGTAGGTTTCAAACCCATTTATTTATTATTTATTTTATGGTAGGAGAGATAGAAGCAACTTTTTGGATTTAAGTTGTTGAAAATGATGAATATCTAAATCCCGGACTTATCCCGGGATTCCGGGATTGTGATAACGACATCCCGAAAATCCCCTATCAAGGGCTGTTGATTCGGCTACCTAACCCCGTTTGGGTCGGCGAAGTCTCTCCCAAATCGCCGCATCGTCGCATCGTGTGATTACTAACAGCATCGTCGATTTCTGTGTTGCCACTTTGTGAGTAATTCCTCAAAACGTGAGGAATTTCGGGTGCGCTTGAGTATTTTTTGGGGATTTTTATTTTGAGGAATTTTCTATCGACATATTTGAAATAAACAAATGTTACTATGTTTTACACAGCAGAGTTGTTATAAAGAGCGAAATACACCACACAAGCGGCTTGTCAAACATTCTTCAAACCTACTTTTCCCATTTCGCCATACACCATGCAAACATGACTCGTTCAAGCAAAGAATTTTGGTTTCCTTCCGGGTCACAATGTAAAAGGGTTTGGTTTTTTTCGATTTTTCTCTTGCGTCCTCATTCGGTAAAAATTCCGTTGCGAATGAGGCGATTTTATCACACACAATGTAAGCGGTTTGATCAACGTCAACATGGCGGCCAGAAAATCAAAAAATTTTGATTTTTGTTCACATTTCCCTCAAACGGCTTGTCAAACCTTCAAACACCCTCATACACAACATAAATAGCTTTGAAGAAAGGGATATTTCGCTTGGTTTGTCAAGCTAAATATTCAAAATGTTATCAATAATTCTTTGATTCTATCGTTATATTTTCAACTTATTTGAACTTGCAACATTTCGATAACGAATGGCGAGAACACGCATTGTTCGATCATAAGGATGTTCATATTGATTCTTCATTAGCTCCAGAAAACTATAGGGAAAAAGTTTCTGAATTAAAAGATGTTTCTGGTTCATATAAGTTTCCCAATTAAAAGAAATTATATCTGCATTACTAATATAACCCTTTTCTAATGCTTCAGTAGAACGTATATTTAGTAAATTAAAAATGTGTAGGACTGACTTGAGGACCAGATTGAGCGCTGATATAGTTGCAGCAATATTATATACAAACCAAGGCATAAAAAATAACGGTGATACTTTGTTTGAACCGCAAGAACAAATGTACCAATTGAATTGGAGAATGTAATTAAATTTTATATTATATGTTATACTAAGGACCTGTAAATAATATGCAGTATACAATACTCATATCTGTAATAAGAAAATTTTGAGCAATTTGTTCAGATTTTGAGGATTTTTCATTTGTTTTTGAGGAATTTGGTACTTTTTTGTGGCAACACTGGTCGATTTGTAGCAGAGCGCTCCCACGACAGTCGGGTCTACGTAACCGGAACGACCCAGATTTATATTTAGCCAAGAACTGTCACTCCAGCAACACTCCCCAGAAACTTTTTGGGGGACTTGTATGCTGCTACAACAACAACAACCACAACATTTGTATAGTATAGAAAATCACTTAAATATTTTAGATTCATGCAAAAATAGAAACACAAAACAATGTAAGAATAATTGTTGTGTTTCCTTGGGTTATCTAGCTCAGTATCACGATCATTTCTCGCGGAAACGATCTGGATCATTCTTATTGGGGTTGGCAGCACTAATTTAGTCTACCAGCACGAGGATCACGAAATTATAAAGATCCCTTCACTAAATACGGAAAAGTACATTTAAACGAAATAATATTCACTTAAATAAATATTTAACGTTAAGGCGATTCATTTGAATTAAGTTAAAAGAAACAAATAGCAGAATATCTGCTTGTGTATACATTCATTCGTCAGTGCTACCAAACCGTGCAGCAAATTATCACTAAAACAAAACAAACAGAGCAGATCATAAATTGAACCAGATCTCTATCAGGATCATATCGTTGTTGTTGCATATGCGTGCAAATTTTGTATCGGGATCCCGATCATTACCCGAGGAAACATAGCTAATATGTTACATATCGTCGTTTAAAGTACAAAACGGCGTATCGTTATTCTGCAAAACCGCGATATTTAAGGCGCTAACAATAAAAGGCAAAGGCCCTCAAACAGGTGCGATACGATATACTATGGTGCTTCATCTTTATTATGACAATCTTTATATTCCGAATACTTCAAATCGTATAATAGTTTGGGGTAACAATTGACGAGTGGAAATACTAACTCCATTTTAGAATTTTATAATGAACCAGTCGCTCATTTCGTGTCATCAATTGTGTTTGCTGCGATACAATTTTTAAACGCATCGTATCGTACTGGTATACCTCAGTGGTTTGTATTGATCGCATATCGTAAATTTTTGTATCGCATCTGTTTGAGGCCACCTTAAATGCGCGTGTATTTTATTTTTTTAAGTGGGCATTTAAGAAAATGACAAAAACCAAATAGTTTTGGTTTCGGAAATATCATATACGATAAACTAGCTTAACTAGCTTATATTAAATTGTATGTAGGAGAATTTACAATTTTGTCAATTTCTGTACACATACATACATACATACATATGTATCTATGTACTAGAGGACAGCCAAGTTTCCCTGTTGTTGTTGTTGTAGTTGTTGTAGCGGCTACAACAACCCCGCCCAGATCGGTTAATATTAAACTTCCGCGCAATTCCATTTAAACGGCCTAACAGGACATCCGATCGCCGCGCAAATACTTTCTCTCCTTTACTCTCATCGTTCGGGTCAAGTGTGAGTAAGCATAAACCAGTTTCTGCAAGCGTAAGTAAACTACCGATCAATAGCAAGACGCGTAGAGTATTTACTTTGCCTTCCGCAACTACTGCGAGTAAAAGGTATTTGCAAGTATAGTACTCTACTGGTAGTACTTGAGTATTTCCGAAGAAAACATATATTTGTGGTAGCTGAATAAAACTATGGGCAGGAATGTAGTGGAGCGATGAAGAGAACGACGAGCAAAACGTACTTTCAACTAAAATGCTGATATACATACATAAGCACATATGTATGTATGTGCATAGTGCATGTGTGTATATACATATACGTATGTGCATAGATATATCTATATATATATATATACATATATATATATATATATAAATATATAATTGGGCTTTCGCACGAGGCGATTTTTCAGGCAACTTTTGCGTTCAACTCACGCAATATTGCACGAAAAAAATTTAATGGTTAAAATTATCAAAATATAAAAAAATATTAAAATATTCGCCATAAAAAGGCGTTTTCGTTCTTCAACTTTGCATTCTACTTTTGGTTGAATGGCCTTTCGGCGCTCTGCATGTTTACATTTTGTCCTTATGTTGCACCAATGCCAATAAAATACTCGACAAGTTTTTGAAGGCCAAAACCATCTACTATTTGGTACGGTCTGCAGTTCTTAATAACCCATTCCGTTACAATCTCTAACACTTGTTTTTGTATGATCTGCACTTAGGTCCACTTTTGCTATGTTTTCGCTGGCGTTTTTTGCAGAATAGTTAGCAAAGCATTTGTGTTTCAGCAAGTTTGAAGTCGATTTTTTGGTGTGTTTAAATATATTGAAGCGGCTTTTACACGTCACAATATTTGGAATGTTCTCATTTGAGTCATTTATAATGAATCCAAATACTTCCCAAACTTTACTTTTTCCAATAACTTTTGAAATTTTGAATTCGCCACTAATAATTTTATTTCGTATACATAGTAGCATTGCTTAAGTTGCTGTTTATGACAACTGATTCGTTGGTTAATGACTGCAAATAGTTTTATACCAAATTAGAAACCAGAAATAATACATTAACGGCCTTATTCATAAAAATTTAATTACATATGTACATAGATTTAAAAAGCTGTTTAAATACAAAAATTGTATAAAAACGTCACTTTACACAACTGTTTAAACCTTTGTTATTTTCTATAAATAAGACCGTAAACATTTCCTTACATCGTCAATTTCCATATTGTAACTTTATTCTTTCAATTTCGGTGACCAGAGCAGCAAACGATATCAACTAGTACGCTAACAACCAGAAATGAAATTTAATACGCAAGTACTTACAGTACTACAAGTGTACAGAGAGTATTATTGCT